TACATCAGGATAGCGTTAATTGTTAAAAATAATAAAAGTGTGAGAGCGGATGTTCAACTTGCTCTCTTGCTTACGCAGTTTAATCATTATCAGTAATAAGACAACGTAACGCACTATACATTCAGTATAGTGAAATTACAGTTAGACCACACCGTAACACGTCTCTGCCACAATCACACACCAGTGTAACGTGAGGTACGTAATTACATGATAACACCAAAATATGTACAGCAACAGCAACACTACCTATCTCAATGTAACACAGGACAGCGTCTCAGCAACACCAATCCTCCTTGCCTGCACTAGAATAGTTACCACAACGAACAGAACCACGACAATATCTTAGCACTAGTCGAATGACCACACCCGTTGAATGACTTGAGCGGAATCTCTCACGCACGGCACCTACAGTAAACTTTATACTAAAGACACAAGAGGGGGTTTCTTGATATACCCTCCATTCTACCTCGACCTAGCCGGGTATTTTATAGACGCTCCGACACGGCCGTCCTGACGTACGACCGTCCCCGGGCGTGTATTTTCATGCATTCCTGTAACAAACACTATTTAGTCACCAATTCGTCCGCTCGTCCGCCCAGACATGAGCAGGAACATAATATTAGTTCGCAAAACGAATTGTTAGATGGCGCTGCTTGTTGCACTATGGCGCCATCAATCCACGACACGACCATCCCTGACTAGCATCCATCCTCGGTTGCAATGGCTGTAGACAAAAATATGCTTAGAGATTAATCTAGCTCGGCTATCCTGCCAATCGAAACAAGATCGATTCCAAATGGTACTTTACTTCTCCTAAGTCTAAGTACAATAGTCAATTGTCATAATTGACAATGCCTTGTCATTAAGGCTTCATACACAGTGCTTCCTGCACAACATGATTTATTATGGAAGGTCCGATCAACAAGTTTCAATACAGTAAATTAACAATTTCGTTACTCTTTAACATAATTCATAAGCAATGCATATTCAACTCGTGAAACTTTCATCGAAATCTGTGCACCAACACAGGCCAGAATCGCACCAACGATTCTTTACATATCCGCCGTCACATATGCCAGAATCGCACCAACGATTCTCCACATATCCACCGCCAAATATGCTACAACACATCTGCCGCCACATATGCCAGAATCGCACCAACGATTCCCTACATATCTGCCGCCAAATATGCACCAACACAGACAGAAATCGCACCAACGATTTCCTACAGACCCATCGCCACATGTTACTCATGAGGTGCGGTCTAAGGTTTTGAGTATGAGTATACAAGCCATTCTTAATCAAATTTGGTCTCACTACCAATGTCATCAACTATGACATCTAATTCTCGAGGAACTTGGTGATCGGGGATCTTCCTCATGTGATCATGAGGGTATTTGTTACTTCGCACACTAAACATTGACCGATTCCGGTTAAAATTACAATAGTGTTCACTCTTGCCATTAAACTTTGGCGCAACACAATTTTTGATGAGGCTCTCTCATTCGGCACCAGAATCGTAATAAAATGGGTACGACTCACCAGTATTCATTAGCACATTGCTTACATAGCAGACGTAAACACATCGCTCACTGCTCGCCGCTGCGGCAGGCATATATGTAGGGCTGCACACGTGGCTACTAAAACAACAGCTCACACCATAATTAGCTGCCTTGAAGCAAGCTCATGTGCTCAAAATAACAGCACAGGGCGTGCCGCACTCGCACAGCGAGCCGTCGCATCTCACCAGCGCCAGCGAGACGCTGCACCGTACCACGCACTCGAAGCGTTAACGGGAGCAGCAGGAGCACCTGAGGGTTCACAGGCATCGTCGGGGTTACCGTCATCGTGATCTGCGTGAAAAACAAATTGTTAAACATTAGGACAACATACACAGTTGCCTATCCTCTCATCCATCACGCATACGAGTCCCTCGAACAGAAATACGCTTTCGTACCGTGGACTATAAAAAAGCACTTCGCTTTCACAAGTAAACATAGGTCTTCATACGAAGTATCTGACACATACTCTTACTTGAACTTGCGAGATCCCACGTTAACTACGTGAACCACATTAAAAACGTGAACCAGGACAGCGCCTGCCAGGACAGAGCCTAATACATGTTCAGAAAACATCACCGTGCACACAGCATACGACTTCCGCGCACACAGTGTGACTCCCACGCATACAGAGTACAAGACTTCCGAGGCATCGCTATGTATAGCATACGCGCGCTCCGGGATGGCGCCTACGTATACGCGCATACGCATCTGCCGAAACCAGGCCATGCTACAACTGGACCTGGCTGTCCGTTCCGACTAGGCAAGGCACAAACTCGCCTCACAATCACATCACACGTGCTGCTGTAACATAAAAGAAAACACTAAAGAAATTCAGTCTGAACTTAATTTAAAAAAATGCAGTACAACTTTCGGGACACCATTTGCCTTTCCAGGGCACCATATAATGAGCTGCGGCTACACGACAACCTCTGGTATGGTCCGATCCTCATGTAAATTTAAATACTCTCTTCAATGTCGGAACTAATTTGCTCTACTTCAACTTCGTCAATTGTACTTTGGTTTTCCGGCATTTTTCGCAACCAATTAAAAATGTAAACACTTATTCTTACAAAATATTTTTTAAGACAATGTTTAGGATAAATTTACTTTACTCATGTTGTATCAAACGGTGATCGGTAGCAGCGGCAAATAAAATGTCCGCGGCGTCATAATTCTACAGCATATTTCCACCCAAGAGCGACTGCCGCAGCACCACATCTTCCACGAAGCCCTCAACATCAAATCCCAATTTTATCGACTACGTAATACTCGCAGTAAACTGTAACACTTATCAACACATTAGAACACAAAAATACTACTTGGTGTTTTTAATTCATAGCACGGTAAAATAAACATGTTCCTTTTTTCGGTACATCGTTTAAACATTTTGAATTTTAAAATTAGCCCATGTAAATCACACCTCGTGTATCAAATTATAACATAACTTGAGCAAGTTAAACTTCCACTGAATGCAAACTATAACTCATTTCGAATACCTTCAACATTTCTTTCGACTTAAGAAATAATGAAAGTACTTGCGGGTACTTTTTATTATAAACCGAACAAAAAGATTTAACTTTTGCCTTAAAATATTTCACTTTTAACTTTAATGGTACAATTAATAGAATCAGGCGTTACTTTGCGGAAATCCATTATATAAAAGCTTTTACAAAAATTTACTTCGCAAATATCCGCATGTTTTATCGCATGACGCAGTCGCTCACTCCTTAGGTAGAGAGCAGTTGCATCATCGGTTTGTATAAAAGGCACTTGTTTTGGCTCGCCGCTCACTTAGCGGTTAGCCACCGTAGAGTCTATATCACCTGAGGATGCCTCGTGTAGAGGCGAAACACGTGTCGTATTATCGTCAGTGGTGTGTCTTGCCTAGTGTAGTGGTGTTGGGAGTAGCGGTGCTGGGATTAGTGGTGACGGGGATAGTGCACGCAATTGAGGGAGGGCGGGAGGTGCTTCTTCATACTAGGTAAGACACATCATTTTATTTTATAACGTATTTATAAAATAAAATTTGCGAAGTAATTCTTTAATGGTACGGCAAAGTCGTAACCAGGACAAAAAATAGACATTTAAAATCAAAACATAACGCGAGTCGCGTCATAGTCTTTCACCAACGTAATAACCCTCACACTATTCAAAGGTTATATGTGGACGATAACAGGGGTTTTATCCCACTTCTGATGTCGGAAATTACAACAGGAGATCCCACTTCTGATGTCGGAGATTTACAATAGAGGATTCCATTTTCGATCTTGGAAATACATCAGGATAGCGTTAATTGTTAAAAATAATAAAAGTGTGAGAGCGGATGTTCAACTTGCTCTCTTGCTTACGCAGTTTAATCATTATCAGTAATAAGACAACGTAACGCACTATACATTCAGTATACTGAAATTACAGTTAGACCACACCGTAACACGTCTCTGTCACAATCACACACCAGTGTAACGTGAGGTACGTAATTACATGATAACACCAAAATATGTACAGCAACAGCAACACTACTTATCTCAATGTAACACAGGGCAGCCTCTCAGCAACACCAATCCTCCTTGCCTGCACTAGAATAGTTACCACAACGAACAGAACCACGACAATATCTTAGCACTAGTCGAATGACCACACCCGTTGAATGACTTGAGCGGAATCTCTCACGCACGGCACCTACAGTGAACTTTATACTAAAGACATAAGAGGGGGTTTCTTGATATACCCTCCATTCTACCTCGACCTAGCCGGGTATTTTATAGACGCTCCGACATGTACATCACTAACTAACGCACACAATGACAAATCAAAATTAGGCACGTGTTTTCGGGCTGTCAGTTCGTCTATACGCTAGTATATTCTAAGTCTATCGTATATGCTATGCCCTCTCTCTTTTACATTGCAAATCTAACGCAAATACAAAATAACCTAAATCTGTGATAATTTTATAAAAACTAATTTTTTTCGAACGACATAATTTGTAAATTGACGATAATTTAAAAACACATAAACACGCACAATTATGCATTTTATACTCTATTAATATTTTCCTTTGTAAATACAAGTTTTAAAGTTAATGTCACAGACTTCTTGTTCCTGCTGAAATAATAACATTACGCATATATTTTAGGTAAGGTTAAAAGGTTAATCAACAATATTCGTAAAGATAACGCTACTCATTATCCTCCAGACTAAGATTGCTAATTATTTTTTTGCATATTTAAAGAATTTCGTGAAGAGAGTTGAATAAAATTTAGTACATACTACATAGTTTGAAAATTTACCAACGACTTTTACTTACAGAAAATGAAAAGCAATAAACTGAAAAATCTTAACTATCAACATTCCATTACGCTACTAATCATAACTTTATTGATATTATTTTTTTAGGTTGTATAATATCACAATTATTGACAATCTTAACTCCTCCGGCTCCTACAGTTCAGTCTTGATGTTACAGATTTTGTAGTACTCCTTCTCTGGTAGAAGGTAATCTTTGGTAAGATCGACAAAATGGTTGTAATTACAGTAACTGTTGTTTTCGCAGCCTGTGAAATGCAGGTACTGGGCAAACGACTCACCGGCTTTTGGGAGATACACCGGCTGGAACAAAAGTAATTTGTTAGGTACATTATTTTATCGGCTTTTTGAAATTTTCTTATTAATCATACATGGACATTTCGACTGCTGAAACTGATAAAACTGGCTTTATGTGGTAAGTAGAAAACTTCTTTAAGTTGCACCTAGCAGCTTTGGTTTCAATAAAAATATGCCAATAAATCAAAGCCAATGTTATTACTCCCGAGCACAGGCGCAGAGTAGCTAGCATTTCGGTGTTCTGCATTATACATTTGGGAGATTGTACGCAGGAATGGCGTAACTTCTTTCCTCCCTCTACCTTCAGGTTTAAAAAAAAATTAATACCTATGTATACGTTTTGGAGAAATTTTTGACTGAAGTTTTATAAGAAAGTTCTTTTTTTATAAAACTTAGTCCATGTACACTTGCAGCCAAATTCAAATAAAGAAAACTATAGACACGTTGTCGCCTCTGTGGACTAGATGGAATGCCTAATGACCTGTAATTATTCTGTCTCTCTATACCCTGCAGACCGGAACGCGCAGCAGTGCAGGTACCGCTGTTTGGCGTCAGAAATAAGTAAGAGTGTGAGTTCTAACACCTAGTAAATTTAATGGTAAATACAACGTTTACTTACCAAAACAGTAAATTCTCCACTGCTCTTGGATTTGTACAGCTCAATCGCAAATAGAGATCCATACTCTGGCATGGTTTGCTCACACTTCGTTATCTTTGTAACGTACATCAGTGCACCGACGTTGTAGTCGTGGGCCGAAAATAATCGGAACCTCTTCGTGACGGTCTTGCCGGCTATGATCTCGTTTGCAGCTGAGATGAAATCATTTAAGACAACGCCTGTAAGAAGTAAACTTTAATTTTCAATTTGACCAAAATGCAAACAATTGAATGAAAGTTCCTTAATCTACAACAAACAACAAGAGATAAGGGATGCCAAATCTATAAAAACCTTTAAAAATTACGAAAATTTTATTTTCTAAACACTTAATCTAGGTGGTTTGCTTTGTCGCTTAAATTGTGGTTAATGATTGGATGAATAAAATTTGAATAGATTAACTAAAAATGCTAAAATGTTTTAAAGTAGCATAATATTTGTTTCGACTCAAAACAATTATGAAATAAAACTTAAATTTAAATGTGTGTGTGTGTGTGTGTGTGTGTGTGTGTGTGTGTGTGTGTGTGTATGAATGTGCATATAGATAACGTTGGTATCTGAATATTTTTACATAAGTCCACTGCTGAACATAAGCCTCCCCCAAGGAATGCCACAAAGCACGGTTCTGAGGCCCCAGGCGAAGATTAATTACAACGGAGCTTCTGAAAGCGGGTGGAAGACCGGTACTTGAAGTCCTTCAGAAGCTCTTTAATTCCGTCCTCCATGGTGGCATTACACCGGAGGCGTGGAGCAGAAGTGCGGTGGTCTTATTCTTCAAGAAAGGTGACAACGCTCTCTTGAAGAACTACAGACCGATTTCCCTTCCGAGCCGCGTCTACGTGCTGTTTTAGAGAGTCATTACAAATCGTCTCGCGCGCAGACTTAGCCTCCCGAACAAGCCAGTTTCCGAGAGAGCTTTAGGACCATAGACCACATACAGACCCTTCGGCAAATTGTACAGAAGTCCGAGGAGTACAATTTGCCACTATGTCTGGCGTATGTGGAATATGAGAAAGCCTTTAATTCCGTCGAAATTTGGACGAAGTCCGAGGAGTACAATTTGCCACTATGTCTGGCGTATGTGGAATATGAGAAAGCCTTTAATTCCGTCGAAATTTGGACGGTGCTGCAGTCCTTTCAGCGGTGCCAAGTTGACTGTCGGTATATCGAAGTGCTAAAGTGTTTGTACAGTAGAGCTACGATGGCTATCCGAGTAAAGAACCAGAGTACGAAACCTATCCAATTGCAGAGAGGTGTAAGACAGGGTGATGTTATATCCCCGAAACTCTTCACCGCTGCATTGAAAGACGTTTTCAAGCTTCTGGACTGGAAAGGATACGGTATTAACATCAATGGCGAGTACATCACTCACCTTCGATTTGCTGATGATATAGTCCTTATGGCAGAATCGCTGGAGGACCTAAGCACCATGCTCAATGACCTCAATAGTGTCTCCCAACGAATAGGTCTTAGGATGAACATGGACAAAACAAAGATCATGTTTAATGTCCCTGTCACACCTATGCCGGTTGTTGTTGGGAGCACTAAGCTCGAAGTTGTTGGCGAGTATGTTTACCTGGGACAAATAGTCCGACTAGGTAAGTCCAACTTCGACCGAGAGGTCAATCGACGGATTCAACTCGGCTGGGCAGCGTTCGGGAAACTACGACACATCTTCTCGTCAGACATACCTCAAAACCTTAAAACGAAATTGTACAAACAGAGCGTGTTGCCAGTGATGACTTACGGATCTGAGACGTGGTCCTTCCCTGCTGGCCGTATGAGGAATCTCAAGGTCGCTCAGCGAGCTATGGAGAGGGCTATGCTCGGTGTTTCTCTACGTGATAAACTTAGAAATGAGTATATCCGCAGTAGAACCAGAGTAACCGACATAGTCCAACGGATTAATAGGCTGAAGTGGCAGTGGGCCGGCCATATAGCTCAAAGAACCGGCAGCCTCGTACGGGTAGGCGATCTGTAGATCGACCCCCCACGAGATGGAGTGACGACCCGGTAAGACATGCAGGAAATCGATGGATGCAGGTGGCTCAGGACCGTGCTTTGAGGCATTCCTTGGGCGAGGTCTAGGTTCAGCAGTGGACTTATGAAAGGCTGTAATGATTATGACGATGATGACGTGCTTAAGTCTCCTTTCTTTTCGCGTAGTGTATATTTTTTTGGCACAGGTCAGTTAAACTGATTTTACGAACGTAAACAGGTATTACACTGCCCGATGATATTCAAGATTTGGTCCCGCAACTAAAATTTATTCCTGCACCCTCTTTTCCCCTGCACCCCCTTTTCTTCTGCGCCCCTTTTGACCTGCGCCCCCTTTTTCTAAAAGAGGACTTTTTTTTTGCTTCCGATTCGGCAGAAAGGCCTAATCAGCCAATGCCAGTCCCACAGGTGGTGTTTAGTGGGTACACTCAGAGTGATTAGGTTAGTTTAGGCACAGTGAGTCTCACATAATCACGACAGACCGGCTGTTGTCAAACCGCCTGCCAAGTGTGGCAACTATGGAAAATTGCCCCTATGGGGATATATAGAGGAGTCTCCGTGTGTCTTTCTATGGGCGCTAATCTTTGCAATGGCTGAAGCGATTGAAACGAGACTTGACGCACATATAGAGTAAAATTCCAGGAGTGATCTAGGCTATATGATTTCCGAGAAATTTGATGATTTTATTTGAGAAATCGAAGACTTGATAAAATTAATAGTCATTAAAGTCACTTAAATCTTTAGAACACCACATTGATAGATCCTGTCCAGGCGAATCGGGCGCGAGTCACTAGAGGTCACTCACAATATAATTTTTATACAATTTAGTATGAAAACATATGGTAGTGATCACCTTATTCCCATATATAAATATATGATGATATGTCATATCATATGTAATTACCTCCGCTAATCTTTTTCATTTCATCCGTCTTATAGTACAACCTGTACGCTAATTTTGCTGCTTCACTAAGTCGAGCTTGAAGAGGTTTAGCCCATTGAGGTACATCCATGCCAAGGGCGACCTGAAAATATTAAGTACAATGTTAGAAAGCAAATTATTTATCATCATTAGAGCTCTTCACAAGTCCACTGGTGAATATAGTCCTGTAAGCTGAAGTGGCAATGGGCCAGAAATATAGCTCGAAGAACCGATAACCGATAGCAAAGAAAGGTTCTTGAATAGTAGTCTCGTACCGAGGTAAACAAAGTGTAGGGCTGCCCCCCACTAGGTGAAGTGCGACCTGGAGCAGGAATTCGATGGACGTAAGTGGCTCAGGACTTTGATATGTGGCATTCCTTGGGGAAGGCCTATGTTCAACCGTGGACTTGTGAATTGCTGTAATGGATAGATGTTATTAAGTAATTTTGACACTAGCATTCGTTTATGATATATTATTATCAAATCCCATCACAAGTCTGTTGAATAGCCTCCTCAAAAATGCAACAAATAACTACCTACAAAGTAAACTGTATCCGTAAATATCCCACGTGTCTCATCTGGTCCTAATAAAATTATATTTTGTATAATGGTTTAGACTATGTTGTAAGTATAAAATCAAAGTATAGTTTCATCAGATAAAATATAAATTGAAATTCTCAGGCACGCGAATTTTAAATTGTAAATATTTTTTAGCTTTTTGTCTTATAATTAGCTATTTGACATTTACAAAGTTTTTAACTATTTAAAGTAATAAAAATCACTGTCTGTGGAAATAGACAAAGTCACGTCCTTGGTTAAGCCACTGATATAAAAGAAGGCTTTGAAATATTTAGAGGTCATAGATCTCTATAAGGAGATAGAACTAAAAATCAAAAATAATATAATGTAACAAAAAGCTTTATCCATTAGCTTTCAGAGAAATATGAATTTTGATAGTCATAAAATTAATATTAAATGTATATTTTGTAAATAGTTATCTTTTACAAGTTTTAAAATATAAAGCTGAAATTTTTCTAGAGCGCACAGTCCAGCTGATGGTAAATGGATGCTGAGGCCCATGTCTCAGCATCCACTTACCATCAGCTGTCTATTGAAATATCTCTGTCTATTGACATATCTACATTTATCCTCGATTAAGATTCAAAATGCAGATGCGTTGTCACTCCTGAGGACCAAGATGGAATGCCTCGTTTTCAGTAAAAATGGTCTCCGGTTCACAACACTCACAGCGTGATTTTACCCTGGTGTTGCCAACCCATTCATGCTACAACCATAATATAGCTGCAGTTACCACGTTTTTTTTATAGGATAAGGGTGACAAACGAGCACACAGTCCACCTGATGGTAAGTGGTTGCTGCAGCCCATAGACATCTACATCTATCCTCTGTTATAAATCAAAATGTAGATGCGTTGTCACCCGTGAGGACTAAGATGGAATGCCTCGTTTCCAGTAAAAAGGGCCTCGGGCCACCTGCACTCATCAAGCGAAACGCAGAGGTAAACCTCTACTTCACGCTGGTTTTCTGTGAAGTCGTGGTACCACCCCGGTTCGAGCCGTCCCATCCGTGCGACAGCAAAAGCTGCCGCGTGGATCTACCACTGTTAAACTACTGGTTAACTACTGATTCTACCCTGGTGTTGCCAACCCATTCGTGCTACAACCATAATATAGCTGCAGCGTGGTTGTATCACGTGAAAATTTTATATACCATATAACCATCTCATTTGCGCCAGGAGTAATGTATCCAGAACGGCAATGGCCAGCCATTTTAAAGGTCACGTCTGGTACTGCGAACGTCGATCCGCCTACCGAGCATGATGATTAAGGCACATCCATACCATCTGCATAATAGGCGGTCCACCACCACAACTTCCTTGTGGAATCGATTACCATCAGTGATTTTCCGGACCGATACGACTTAAGGACCTTCAAGGAAAGAGCCTAGTCCTTTTTAAAAGGCCGGAAACGCATCTGCAATTCACCTGGTGTCGCAGTTGTTCATGTGCGGCTGTAGTCACTTACCATCAGGTGAGCCACATGCTTGTTTGCCCCCTCTCCTATAAAAAATATCTGAGAGGATCTTCTTATCTGGTATGGTGTTATCTGGTCTGGCACTATTCCTTTTCCACATTTTATCTCGTGGTAAATCACCCCTTAAAACAGCAAGTAACGATTTCTTTGTTGTTTTTAGTTAATTTTATTTTATGATAAACGCCGATGAACTACGCATCATTGTAAATCAGTTATGGAGTTGACTACTCCTGAGTGCAACGCATTAATAATTTATTTATTTATTCAAAGTGGAACAGTTAACAGCTACATTATATATATATCTATATATATATATCTATATATATATATATATATATATGTATATATATATTACAGTTATATAGTACAGTAACATTAATATACGCAATAATGCAGCCAAAAGTGCTGTTCACAGATTACCTCTAGAGATAGATAATTAAGACTCTATGAGACCTGCAGCTGTACAGAACGTATTATATAAGTGTCAAAGTATGGTCAGCAATGGTATTATAATGTGAGTGTGATGACAAATTATTATTCGAAAAGTGTCTTGTATAAAGGACCACGAAACCTTTCCGTTGAGCATGTGAAAATATCTATATACTCGAAGGTCTCATTATATGTGGCAACCAGACGTTGAATCGGTGAACGTGTACCGGTATGGGATCGACAGGTACTTACAGCAAAGAGTTTACCCGCACGCGCCTGTCGTTTATGGACAGTTCAGGGGACCGAATAACATAACACATTTTTTAACTCAATACAGTCAAACTTGCATCTTACTATATGGAACAAAGTCATAGCCTCTAATTGCTTACATCTAGAGTCGAGGGTTAGAAGTTTGTATCTACTGAGTAACTGGTTATATGGTAGATAAGATTTATGACATCTATAATGCATTGCACGTAGAAACCGGCGTTGAACATTTTTAATTAATATTAAATATAATAAATATTATCTGTCTAATTACAAAACGTGGTTTGAACTATAGTTTGAGAGAAGCCCCTCAGCCATAATGCTGTAATCTTTGCGATATATGATATTTTCAGTGTAATAATACATTCGTGCGCTATGGTTATCCCATTGAAGCATCATGCACAGTCTATTTATTGCTAATAGCTGCTTTAAGGCTTCAAATAAACTTGTTCTTTTTTTAAAATAAAAGCTATTACGTACTACATACCTGACTTTTATGCAAATCATAGATTCCCAGGAACAGCTGTGGGTTCTCAGAGAAGTTACGCCCTGTTTGGGCTTTAAGCGTAGGGATCAGGTCGTTGAACACAGCGAACTCTTCATGAATCGATTCTATTGTAACATTCTCCAGTGAGTCCTTAAATTTTTTGCAGTCGGAGAAAAAACGCAACTGAAAATAGATCAGATGATGAAATCAACTGTAGTGTTGGTCGATCCAATAGCTATAAGATTTTTTCAAATATTTTCAGATGGTATGACAAATTTTAAGACAATCTTAGATAGTATTATTGACTGATTATTATTGACTTAAACCTTGGTGATAAGTACAATGCCAAGCCCTGGTTATCATTGTAAGACTACTAAATAAATCAATATAAAATAGTAAAATACATAATATAATAAAATATAACAATATAAAATAGTTGTCTATATACGCCACGCTGCTGGGCACAGGCTTTCTCTCATTTCTGAGAGGGTTTTAGGGCAAGGAAATGTCCGCCGCGTTACCTCGTTGCGCGTTGGCAAACTTTACATGTCTTCGAAATATTTTTTTTCTTATTTCTCAAACATGCCAGTTTCCTCACGGTATTTTTCGTGGCAGTTGAGCACGTGGTTAATCATCACTTAAAATTTCAATTAACAATTTCATTGGTGCCGGCGGAGATTGAACCCGGGTTACTCGCGTACTGTGAAATTTACAGCGAGCGCTTAACCCCTGAGCTACCATGCCTCTTAATAAATCAATATGAGAAATAATAAATTACTGTGTGGTAAGAGAATCTCTCACCCCATTTCGTCTCGTGGGAGCCGTAAGAGGCGACAATGGGATATTCCAGAAAGATTTTATGGATTCCAATAGGTGGTGGTACAACCATTTCGTTTACATCAGACGTAAAATACCCAGGCTGGGGACGGGGAGCAGCGTTAAAGTTTCGAAACGTATGTTCAACGTCGGCGACGCGGTAGCGGGGCGGGCAACGCAGACCCGTTCTCGAAACCAGCGGGCAGAACGCGCGACACTATAGCGGCGTAGTGATGTGTTCATGGTTGTGTTGTCGAGATATTTGTTTTTATTCGCGAACGAAATGTCTGAACAACGGCGACAATATCTTTTTGATTTAAATTAATTCCTAACGCTCGATTTATTGTGGGTAAAAGAAGAAATGAATCCCTACTATAGGGCAAGGAAAAAACCTTTTTTTTTCCTTGCCCTATAGTAGCGAGTTTTATCGAAATTACGATATCGAAGTACGATGATTAGTTATTTCTACAATCACAGATTTGTTATTATTTGAGAGTATTTTTTATTATAAGGTTGATATAACTAGTGTTGAGTATTATACCCATACATATATGATTCATTAGAAGGGTACATGCCTTCATTTACACTTAACTCGACTAGAAGAGCTTGATTAATTTTTTGTCTCACTCTAAACTTTTATACTAGCGTAAATTTCTCCATTTGTGGAAGCAAACTCATTTAAAAGTAGTAGTCTAAAATAAATTTGCTCTTGCTCGTCTGAGGACATTTCGACATGTCATAAAAATAAATTGCACAACACTGCAATGCAGACGCGCGGGCGGTCACCGTTTGACTGGAGTGCACCGTTCGTTGCCCGCCCCCGCGCCGCTGCCGCGCCGCTGATTTCTTGGTCTATTTGATTATATGCATAATATCCTGCCGCTCCTGCGCCGCCACCGCCGCCACCCCGCTGCCCACAAGATTCGAGGCAGAGGCCTTACACCTCCGTGTCCGCTCGATAACTCTACTATGTCGATAGACATAGTAGAGTTAATGAGAGAAATAACGCATGTACGAGTAGATAAATCTGGCTCTGGTAGACGTACTAGCAACCTTACACGTAACAACAAAGGCGAACTTCTTAATTTAAAATTGAAGATTTTTAGGGAATTTTTCTTCTCTGTGAAATAAACGCTGCTATTGACAAAATAAAATACGATTATACTGATACGACGGACTTTTTTCAGTCAGAAAATAAAGATATAAAAGCTTTCCCATCTGTTGTTGAAACTCACATCAGCAAACTACAGAAACAACATGCAATGCGATTTTCTGAAAAAATATTTCGTCTTTGCAGAATCGCTTGGATTCTATAGAAAAAGTTACGCGAAGCCGTAATGTTGAAGGCTGTCCCTGAAAAGCGTAATTAAAACATACTTGCGACAGTAAAAAAACTATAAAACCGTAAACTTACAAATCAATGACGATAAAGACAGCGCGTGTCGTAGAGTTAGTAAGTTACCATCTACCATCTGCAAGTAGTCCACAATATTCTAGTGAGCCTTCGATGTATTCGGAGACGGAAACCATTTAATTTCAGCGGTGAAATGTAATAACATAATTTAAAATTAAACATTTTGTAAAACTGATCAAATCTTGATTACGAGAAAGAGAAGCACCAGCTTTCAAATTAAAAAAGAATCATCGAAATCAAACAGAAAAAAGTTATGAGATAACAGGTAACACATAAAAAAAGAAAAGCATAAAGTCGAATTGAGTACCGTCTCATTTTTGAAGTCGGTAGATAACCAACCCAAAGGATTGGATAAGTTCAGTGCATCTTGGTGTCGCTTGCGAAAGATCCTTGATATACGTAACCAAGCACCTGCACTGAGTGCAAGGAACTCCACTCGGCTACTAGAATAACATTACGGGGTCAATATAAGTATATATGGATTAAATATGGCAATGTACAAATCAGAAAAGATGATACGCCATCGGTTATACATGTGAAGAATAATGATTTTCTATCGAATCGAATCGTTGTCATCCAAAGTTGTGTGTTCATAGTTCTTGTTTTTTCCAATAATAATTTTAATCTTATATTCTGTTTTCCCTTCATTTCCATGTTAATTTCCTATGAAAATATAAAGCGCATGTGCTCTTAAACTTCCGAATTATATTTAGAATTATTAATTAACGACTATGGTATAATATGTTTATCTGAAACTAACCTTGATGCTGGTGTGTGTAATTAGGAATTTTTCGATAAACGCTTCAATGTCTATTGTAATGATAGGTGTGATTGCGAGTACAGTAACCAAAAAAAGTGAAGAAGGAGGTGTTGTAAAAAAATGTCAATGTCATGCAAATTTAATGTCATGCGTCGCAGAACCTAGGCCAGTGACTATGAGGATCTTTAAATATATATACTTCCTAATGACAACTACGCGATGGCGATAAAGCTTTGTGTTTGTTACTTACTTACATTTTGAAGATTTTGAAAGATTTATTTATTTATTTTATTTATATATTTATTTCTTTATTTACATCCAACTTATATCTAACATTACAGGTTTCTACCCAATGCGATAGATAAAGCACTATTCACAATCATTTATTACCTATATTACTATACTACCTTATAACTAATTATCCATAAAGCAAGTGTTATGCGTCATGTTCAAAGTGTGTATTGTAGCCGATTTTAATACTCTGATATTGACTGGAGTATTTTAAAAGATCAAAAGATTACTACTCCTTGGGATTAAGTAGTAGTAAAGCTTGCTCTTTGTAATAACCGAACATTAGACCTAATTTTGGCAAATTCCGATGATGTTTGTATGATTGCGGCACAACCTATAATCAAATTTGATAGATATAACCCTTGCTTCAACATATCTATTGGACCCAGCAAGCATTTAAGCCCATCAGATTTAACCCAGTCAGCTTCAAACCAAATTTCCATAAATGTAAGTTCGTAAAGATAAAAAAATCTTGTATTTAATACGAAATGGCAGCATCATTTGGGTGAGGACAATGTAGATGATGCAGTTGAAATATTTTACCAAGAATTAAACAAAGCCATTCTTCTTTATATCCATCACGTAAATATCCATACTGGTATAGTCTTTCTTTGACTCGTTGCATTAAAGAGAAACTAAGATTTCATATACTATGTAAGAAATTTGGCAACGCACGAGATTACGATACCTTTAATTTATGGAGAAAAATAAGTAAAAAAATTAAATTAAATAAGAACTTACTACAGAATTCGGAAAGAGGCCTGAACTGTAACATGAACGCCTTCTAGAAATTTGTCAAAAGAAAAAGAGGAAGTGGAAATATACCTTAATCCATTACTTATGGGTCCCACACCGTAAACAAACTGCGAATTATGCTCTATATATCTTTCATCTGTGTACTACAAACTGGATAGCAATAAATCTGCATCATTTACCATTCCACCAAGACATCATCTTACTTTATTTGATATACATATCTCAACTGAGATAATGTGTCTAAACTGTAGTAAATTGGATACTTCGTATCTTCGCTCCTGGGCCGGATGGAATTCCTGCTATAGTTGTAAAGACGTGTGTAGAAGAGCTTAGTTTGTCATTGTCTTAATACGCATACTTTCCCGAAAATTAGTTATACCTATTTACAAAATTCATGTATGCAGCATGGCTTCGTATTTGGTCCGTCTACGATAAGCAATCTGCTCCTTTATAGAAATCACTTCAGGACTGATATTTCCGTTATTAGTCGTCAGGTGGACTCAATTTATACAGATTTCTCCAAGGCATTTGACAAGGTCAATTACGAGTTACTGTGTGCAAAATTTAAAGTCTATGGTATTTATGGCAATTTTCTTCATTCAGTCAGATCGTACATATCCAGGACGAGCCAGATTGTTGCGGATAAATGTTAAAACTCTGCTCCAGCAGCGGTCACGTCTGGTGTTCCCCAAGGATCTCATATATGACCGTTGTTTTCCATTATTTTTAATGATGATTTGGTTGACATAATCCAGAATCACTGCCTACCTTATGTTGACGATATGAAGATGTACCGCGTGATAAGTGACGTGGATGACTGCATTGCATTACAAAAAGGTATAGATTGAGTTTACGAATGGTGTTCTGCTAATTTTATGTCCTTAAATATCAGTAAGTGCTTAGTTATTACTTTGTCTACGAAACCTAATCAAATGGATTTTAATTATAATACCAATAGCCAGCCTCTGACACGCAAGGAGATTATTATGGATTTGGGCGAATATTACGTATTACGCAAAAAAGTTTCAGAACCAGTTTATAAGTAGTGTAACAAAAAATATCTGCAAACCTCTCGCATCATTTCGATTGTTTTAAAATTGAGTTATTAAATATTTTTTAATTTTTTAATTTTAGTTATTAAATATA